GAGGCTTCCATCTCAGTAAGCAGCGTTAGACTGTTTATACCTGATATTTCATTTGCTCAAGGTAACAGTAAAGATCGTAGGTGAACATAAGCCATACGAACATGTGTTTAACAAGGCTGCGCTGTTTGATGGTGGTCAATCTTCTTTTTGTTGTTGTTGTTGATGATGGTGTTTTGCTGTTTCTTCTTCTTCCCTCGTCGCGGGGTTGTTTGTTGTTGCATTACTACCATCTGTTCTCCTGCGCTTTGCGCGCATACTCGTGTTCAACGGCATCGTCGCGTGCCTGTTGTTGTAATTCTGCCCACTGCNGGACCGGGCCGTCGGGGGTTTGCCAGAGCGGAAACGAGGCAGTCGTCCGCTGTACGTGTGTAGTACTTGGCGGGGTTCACCCGTGTACCCCATAGGTTGCGTTAGCCTTTTTGTGGCTACTGTAGTGACCATATCTCCCGCCTCACGTCGCGGAGGCTTCCATCTCAGTATGCAGCGTTAGACTGTTTATACCTGATATTTCATGAACTCAAGGTAACAGTAAAGATCGTAGGTGAACATAAGCCATACGAACATGTATTGAACAAGGCTGCACTGTGTGATGGTGGTCAATCTTCTTTCTGTTGTTGATGGTGTTTTGCTGTTTACTCTTGTTTTCTCCCTCGTCGCGGGGTTATTTGTTTTGCATTACTACCATCTGTTCTCTTGCGCTTTGCGCGCATACTCGTGTTCAACGGCATCGGCGCGTGCCTGTTGTTGTGATTCTGCCCACTGCAGTTTATATCCTGCAGAGGACCGTTGGGGTAAATGACGTCCCACGGCCCATTTCTCTTGGGCCTCCCACGATGTGAGAACTCTAAAGCGTACATCGCTTAATTGTTGATAGTGTCCCATGATGGGATCACCAAAGCGTTCAGTAGAGATATCAAACTTCTCCCCTCCAGAGAAGATGGCCCATGATGGCAATATACTACTTGCTTTTTCCTTATCAGTTTTATATTTTGTTTTTTCTGCCGTTTCTTCCATTGAAGAAGCAGAATTAGTGATCGTAGTAGGTGAAGTCCTGTGTTCACTGTTTTCGCTTATACTGCTCGTATGGCCGTGAGTACTGTTTCGTTTTCCTCTGAAACGCCAGGGACACGTAATGTCGTAGAGAGTATTGTATAAGGTGGTCTAGAGAACTTCACCGATGAAGCTACCGTGTCGGCATCTAACAAGTTCTTTTCGCGTCGCCATGCGTTCTGTAACAACCACATCCTGTCCGTCATCTCAAAATCCGATTGTTATTTATTCGGTGGATTCAATGGTGGTGGTGCTCTTATTCTCCTTTCCTGCCAATCACCTTGTGCGAGCATGGTGGAAATCCTGC